AAGAAAGGAAAGGAAGGAAAAGTCTAAAGAGGCGGAGGTGAGGCGGGACTTTATACCTTTGGAGAGAGGTCTGTCACCCTGAGGCAGCCGTCGGCGTCCGCCTGTGTTCTCAGGCTTCAAGGTTCTCGGGCCAGGAACAAAGCGAAATTTGAAGGCGCGCCCGGCCAGTCCCCACTCTTGTTGGCCATTCACGAGCGGCTTTAAATTCTCTAGGTTATGCTTTCATAATATTGAGACACTGAGCCGTTCACGACTTTATGCAAATATGTGACGATGACTGCCATTCGACAGCTCAGGCCGCAATAAGAGCGTCATGACATGATGATGGAAAGTCATCACCACAGGCTTGTCTAAGAGACCAAAGTAGCCATCCAATCGGCATGAGCTGTTGCATGACCTATTAGTATTTTGAAAAAGTAGGACCTGTAAAACTTCAAGGCTGGAGAGCCCGGCACAATGCAGCAATATTTTTGTGTCTACCTTGACGGTTCGGTGCATGGTCGCTCTCATTCGGTCAAGTCGTGTCAATTGAGAGTCCCTCGTGGTTAGCTGCACGCAGCCCTGACGCCAGGCTTCGAATAAGGCCCCAAGGCTGCAAGACCAAAGGCCCACACAAAAGACGAAGCGAAAACACGTGACGCACACCAATTCTTGCGCCCACGGGCAAAACCCCACCAAGTACGTACCAAGTGTAGGGCTCGAAAACCCTTCTAGGAATTTGACAAGCCTCAACCCTCCAAAATTTCAACGTCTCACGACCCGACCATCGACAACCGGAGCCCGTTGATCGCAAGCAGTCAAAATGGTATGGCCTCCACGCCCAATGCGATGCATCGCAATGCGGTAGACGACATGTACTGACCTGCTCCCTCTCCAGGCGATCAAGCACAACCAGAAGCTCATTAACAACCGTGAGCAACCACCACCGCCGAGCGACGACTTCGCAAATAGCGACTGACAACTCTCACAGATTTCCGCAAGGATTGGCAGCGCCGGGTTCGAACCCACTTCGACCAGGTACGACAGAAACCCGACGGAATTTGGCCTCGCCGTGCCGTCTTGAATTCGCGATATTAACATGTGTGCAGCCCGGTGCCAAGTCGCGGAGACGCACTGCTCGTCAGGCCAAGGCCGCCGCTCTGGCTCCTCGCCCTGTCGACAAGCTCCGACCCGTTGTGCGATGCCCTACTCTTAAGTACAACCGACGAGTCCGTGCCGGCCGCGGTTTCACCCTGGCTGAGCTCAAGGTACGATTTCATGCCCTAGACCCTCCAGCCCGACCTGTGGGGGTTTGCGCGAATGATGGGATTTTTTGTGTGACTAACAACGACTACAGGAGGCTGGTATCCCCAAGGCCTTTGCTCCCACCATCGGCATCTCCGTCGACTCCCGCCGCCAGAACCTGAGCGAGGAGTCCCTGGCCACCAACGTTGCCCGCCTCAAGGCCTACCAGGAGCGCCTGATCCTCCTCCCCCGCCGATCCAACGCCCCCAAGAAGGGAGACACCAAGACCGACGTCTCCGCTATCGAGAAGGCTTCCCTCCTCTCCGCTGCCTTCCCTATTGCTCCCACCGACATCGCTTTCAAGGAGATCAAGAAGAGCGAGATGCCCGCCGCCAGCGAGGCCGGTGCTTACCGAACCCTGCGTGTCGCCCGCAGCAACGCCCGATACCAGGGTGCTCGGGAGAAGCGTGTGCGGGATGCGGCCGATGCCGAGGCTGCCAAGAAATAAACTTTCAAAAAGGGAACTGGTGTTTGAGGGTTTTGCTCTTTGCGTCTCTAAGGGAGGAGCAACGACGGTTCGAGGCTCTGATGAAATGCTTGACCGGGTTTGGAGGGAGAGATACTCTAGGTCCAGCTCAAAGAATTTATTGCATGATCACCGGCTTTGCGCTGTAATCGTTTGGTCAATGGAGGCATTCCTTGAACATAGTGTGCTTCTATGATCGTTGATATGATTGGGGTTGCGTAAAAGTAGAATTTCATTGATGCTCGCTCTTTAACCTGTTCACTCTTGCATGTTGCGTCAGGTCCAATGCTCGGTTCTCTTTGTGTCTGGCATCATCCGCATTTCTTCCTCAACTACCCTGGGCCTTCTCTTGGCTGATCATCTCTGTCCCTCGTCTAATCAAATCCTGCAAAAGACCAAGCTGAGCCGACGTCAACACACTGCCCGAGTTCTTGACAATCTCCGTACACAGGACCAAGCAATTCTCCCGGTCCACCCTGGCCATATTTGCCTGCTGCTTGGGGTCAACCTGCTGGGGTTCTAGCCCAAGGCCCTCCGTAATGGCTGCGGTATCAGACCCAGACACGGATGCAACATTTTCGATCTGCCTGGTTTGCTCATCGCTGTTGGCGACTAAAGCTTGGCCGGTAACAGCGTGGGCGAGGGCTTCAGTGGCTTCCGCAACACTCAACGTGTTGGCGACGACGCTGGCGCCATCTTTGGTGCGGGACATGAGGGCGAACACAAACCAGGCCTCGGACCGTAGGATGGGCCACTTCTGCTGGGTAACGAGAAACGAGAGCGCCTTAGACAGGTCGTGTTTCTGGTAGAACAAGCCTCTCATCTGGCTCTCTTTCTCGTCGCTGGAGCTGCTCTCTACCCCAGGCGGCAGGGGCTCCTTTGGCTCGAAGACGTATCCATCCTGCGAGGGATCCCACTCTGGCAACAATGGGAGGACTGGGGTTGTGTGCAAAACTCGACACACTGAAGCGATGCAGCGCGCTGCCTCCAGTTTTGTGGGCTCGGCATCGGAGCGACTAAGCAGGGAAAGGATGTCGTGGACGCTCGTGTGCTCGTTCGACTGCTCTGACGGGTCGGCGTTTCGGGGCGCGCAGATGAGGCGGACGTTTGGCGGGCAGTTGACGAGAAGCAGGCGAGTTAGCGACACGGCGGCGAACGGGACCTGCGGAAGAGTGTCTAGGGTGAGGATCCGCGGGACTCGTGTGACCTCCAGCAACTCGCCGAGCAGCGGCTTGTTCAAGGCCGGGATAGCGAGGTTCTTGAGGAACGAGAGCATAGAATGCAGTCGCTGGGTGTCAGTGATGGCGGGGTTGGAAAGGAGGTTGATGAGAGGACGGTGGGCTTGGTGAGTCTGAACGAGAGCCAGGCAGACCTCATCGGAGCGGGCGAGGTTTCCGAGCGCGAGACAGGCGGCGGACTGTAGCTGGGGGTTTGCTCCTTGCAGCCAGGCCAGGAGTGATTGTGGCACTGAGCTATCGAGAGGGTAGTAAGTGGCAAACGAGTCGTTGCCCGAGAGATCGGCGAGCGTGGTGAGCAGAGCTGTGCACATTCGCTTCAACAGTCCTGCCGTCTCTGGATCGTCCATCTGCTCAGGGCTAAAGGCCGTGTGCGCATGATAAAACGCCGCCATAAACACGTCCATCTGCTGGCTTGTGAGGAAGCTAGCCTGGAACGACTCATTGGCGAGGTAGCTTGCGGCTGTGGACACGAGGGCCATGAAGTCATCCACATCGTCCTTTGCAGGTGCATTCGTGGCTAGCGTCAGGAGGACCTGGACGGTGAGCGGGCTGGCCACGGCGGCCTCGCCATCTTGGGTGATGAGGAGGGCGAGGATCTTGCAGAAGTAGGTGATGAGCGGGGCGTAGCGTGGGAGGTTCGGGGAGGCGAGGAGAGAGATGAGGTGGTTGTTGAGGCCAGACTGCGAGGCAAGTTTCTGGGCAGGTTCTACTTGAGTCAGTACTTGATTGTGCCTCTTTGTAGCTGAGATTGGATATGACACTTACCGTAGTCGACGAGGATGTTGAACAACACGGGGATGGCGTAGGGAATGAGATCCTCGTCCTGAAGTTGGCGCATGATGGAGGCGAGATGGTTGCCGTCGACTACACGAGCACGGTTTTCATCTGTGTCTGCGCACGAGTTGCCAACAATGCGCAGAGTATGGACTTTGACGCCATGGCTCACGCCCTCAGCCGCGAGGATCTCGAGGAAGAAGTTGAGGATGCCCGATTCCCCATACGGGAGGCGCCAAGCGACTGTGTTGAGTTAGTGTGCGTCTCTCTCGGAATAAAATAACCATGGCACAAGAGCAACCATATCATGTGGTAACATGGCGAGGAGAAGGCCCGCAGCCCACAGACATGTAAAAAATTGAGCCACAATGTCAGGGTGAGGAGAAAGTGAGAAGTTCTGGTAACTCACCATCTCGACTTCCATCACCAAGGTTCTTGGCAATGGCTTCTAATTGCCCTGAATTCTGCTGCGCAGCCTGTCGACAACTGTCCAAGACAGCGGCCAAAGCCTCCGTTCTTTGCTGGCGAGCTCCGTCGGGCTGAGGAGTCTCGTCATAGGCATCTGGCGACAGTCCGCTGCCCTCTCGCTGGAGCAGAGCAGCGACATCCTCGGGGCTCATGGCCATGATTCCGTGTGTTTAAAGTGCGGCTTGTTGCAAGACTCGGGGTTGAAGAGGGCTGCTTTCTCTATCTCAACCCAAAGGGACTGGGTTGTGTTTGGGAGAGTCTTAGTCAGGGCTGGCCCTTTCGTAGTCCTAGACGCCGACGGCTCCGTATGACGCAAGGGGTTAATACGAGGTGTCCTTTGCTGCCTCCCAAGGGATTTGAGAGGGTGCTTGAAACAATGACAGCTGAGCAAAGTCGATCCTCTTCGGGACACGAGTTGACATGCTGACGAGTCCAATCACCGCCTTACCCTACGGCGGGGGGTTCTCAATTGAACGTGGTGGGGCATTCTCGGTGAGTCCAAGGTCAAAGTGGGTGATATCTCGGTGAACGGCCGATCCTCGGCAATAGCCGCCTCCTCACCTGAACATCATTGAGGGAGTCAGTCTGGATTCATTAGTAGCCTTCTTGCCCTCTCTTCTCCTTGTCGTGGAAGTGTCGAATGACGTGGGGATCCCTGAACTGCAATTTCCGACAAAGCGGTATGTGCAGACTCACTATGGTGACTGGACATCGCCTTTTGGCATTCTCTCCTACATAAACGATAATTTCTGAGACAGTCTGTATCGAATGGGGGGCTGGCGCAACGGTAGCGCGTTAGATTCCAGCGTTTGCAGTTTCCTTGACTGCACGGCGATTCCTAAAGGTTACCGGTTCAAATCCGGTGTCCCTCAATTTTTTTTGACCGCCTTTCCTATATATTTTCCCTTCTTCTTCCCCTTCTTATTATTACTTTTCTCTCGAACAAATCATCAGATAAGCGGGGGGGGGGCTGGCGCAACGGTAGCGCGTTAGATTCCAGTGTTCTTAGGGTTCCCTTGATTGCACGGTGATTCCTAAAGGCTAAGAGTTCAAATCTCTTGTCCCTCAACTTCTTTTTTGGCCCTTTCCTTTCTACTTCTTCTCTTCCTCACATTCTTATGATTTCCTCTCTACTAAACTTTAAAGTAAGGGGGGCTGGCGCAACGGTAGCGCGTTAGATTCCAGTGTTTTCAGGGTTGTTTCTTGACTGCACGGTGATTCCTAAAGGCTAAGAGTTCAAATCTCTTGTCCCTCAACTTCTTTTTTGGCCCTCTCCTTTCTACTTCTTCTCTGCCTCACATTCTTATAATTTCTTCTCTGCTGAATTGTCAAGCAAGGGGGGCTGGCGCAACGGTAGCGCGTTAGATTCCAGTGTTTTCAGGGTTGTTCCTTGACTGCTTGGAGATTCCTAAAGGCTAAGAGTTCAAATCTCTTGTCCCTCAAATGTACTTTTTGCTGTGCCCTACTGTTAATGTTGTTTTTTTCTTTTGCTTTTCTATAAAAATTTCCTCGTACTAAATAAACAATTGCAATTTGTTTGTATCTGGAAAAATCCCCAGTGTCTGACAGGATAACTAAGAAATGGAATAAACAAATAGCGATCTGTACTAGGGGGGCCTCAAAAGCGGTCCCTCTGTGAATTGTTCCTCAACACGGGGAGGTCGTTGATTGGGAAAAGTATCGTTGATTGGGAACAAAAAGATACACTAAGTGCGCAGTAGATTATATCAGGAAACAAGTTACTCGTTTACAATAATCTATGTTAGTACCCCGTGTAGCATTGTGTGTTATTCATCTACATAGGCCTATTGACCTAATGAAATTGCCGTTACATTGACACGCATACTAATTAAGGTGTGCCCTTATGTACACCGAGTTTTTTCCTCAATCAACGACCTTTTTCCCAATCAACGACCCCCCCGTGTTGAGGAACGATTCATAGGGGGACCGCTTTTAAGGCCCCCTAGTAGTTGTAATAACTACGGTATAGAATACTAACCCAACTGGCCAAGTTGGCGGAATGTAACGTTTGATACGGCACTTGCTCAGTCGCCCCTAACTGAGTGCCGCGAAATTCAGCTAGTGAATGTAACTGGTTTTGTCGCTTGAACCTGGTTGACCCGCTCTTCGAAGAGACTGAAATCCTTGATCTCCGCTGCTCATAAGTTTTCGGTATCCAACTTTACCGATGTGGAGAAACCGTGGTCCACCTCCTCATCTCTGAGGAATTCTGGGCCCGCGACGCGATGGCGCCATCATATTTGCCCTTTGTTTGGCGCGCTCTGGTAACGACAATTGCTCTAACTCATGGCTGGACCCACTGGAGCAGGCCACTGTGGGACAGTCTGAGGCGCCTGAGGGGTAACTAGGGGGTCTGCTATTCGCACACAAGTACAAGTCCCCTTAGCTAAACCTTAGGCAACTGATGTACTGAGCATATGCAGTCAAAGGATACATTTTGAGGCTCTATTAAGAAGGAGTATTGCTATTCACACAACCTTTCCAGTTGTCAATAACCGTACCCCGCTGCAGACGACATCACAGCGCCTGTCACACTAAAATTACAGCACATGTCAGCCGGGGAACTACAGGGCAAAATCCCCTGCAGCCAGCGCTCCCGTCACTAAAGCCCACTGAAGGGGTTGGAAGAACTGATGGCTCCCCCTCAACTTCAGGATCAAGGTTCAGGATTAAAGTTGACAGTCTGATGTTCTAAAACCTAGAGCTTAGGACTTTCTAAGGCTCAAGCCCTAGAATGGACCACTCAAAGATAAAAGGTCTTACGGGTCCTTCGATTGCAACAACAATAATAATGGAACAGCCATTTGTCAAGTGCACTCAGTATCCATGCGCGATCCAACAACAAGATGGGGATGTCGGTGCGAGGACGAGGACAATATTGATGAGAGCATAGGTTTTACAAGCCGGACACGGAACACACGGGGCGGGCATGATATATACGTGGGGAGTTGCAACAAGGCGTGTTTAGCACGACGTCGCGGACGGATCAGTTCCGATCAATCAGCTGGCAGTGGCACCACTTGTTTCGGGATTTGGAGCGGTGGATTGAGGTGAACACGGGTTGAGTTAGGAGGAGCAGCTTAAGTTGTAATAGAAAAGCAGGGTACAAGCGACCTATGCTTAGATTGACTTTTCTTCTGCCTGTAACCCAACACCTACTCACAGTACACCTCAGCCGCCAACGACAGCAGAATTCCGCCAGTGTTGGCTTTCAAGTCGGATCGACGGCGGCGCCATTCTCGAGAAGCAGCCTGATCACCATGGTATGTCCATTCCGCGAGGCCGAGTTCAATGGCGTCAGTCCGTTGTTGGTTGCGACCGCCATGTCGGCGCCTTTCTCGAGAAGCAGCTTGACAACCTGGGTATGTCCATTCTGCGAGGCCGAGTTCAACGGCGTCCACCCGTTGTTGTTAGCAATCGTGATGTCGGCGCCCTCCTCGAGAAGCAGCTTGACCATTATGATATGTCCATGATGTGAGGCCGAGTTCAATGGCGTCCATCCGTCGTTGTCCTTGGTGTCGATGTCGATGCCGTCTTTGGCGAGAAGCAGCCGAACCACTTCCTCGTCGTCATTTTCAGCCGCAAGAAACAGCGGCGTCTGACCGTTTTCATTCCTGGCGTTAACATTAATGCCGACCTCGGCAAGAAACAACCTGACCACCGCCGTGTTCCCGTTTGCGGCTGCAAAAGACAGCGGCGTTTGACCGTAATGGTCTACGGCGTTGACAGCGATGCCATCTTCAGCAAGAAGCAACTGGATTACTTCCTCGTGCCCACGAGAAGCCGCATATATTAGCGGTGTCCATTTGTCGTTATCCTCAGAGTTGATGTCAGTGCCGTCTTTGGCAAGCAACAGCTTGACAATATCCTCATCTGCATTCGCAGCCGCATGCAACAGTGACGTCCGACCGTTGCTGTCCTTGGCATTGACGTCCACGCTATCATCGGCAAGAAGCCACTGGACCACCGCCTCTCTCCCACCCATAACCGCACATAACAGCGGCGTCCAGCCGTAGTGGCCCCCCTTAGCGTTGACATCGACGCCGTGTTTGGTCAGCAGCAACTTCACCAATTCCTCGCTCCCAACCTGAACTGCCCACAATAGTGTCGTGTTACCGTCGCGATCCTTGGCGTTGATGTCGACGTCATCTCTAGCATGAGGTAGCTTGGCGTTCGGGTTAACATCATTGTTGTCCCCGCCAAGCAGCAGCTTGACACCCGCCTCATACCCGAGCATTGCTGCATACAACAGAGGTGTCCGACCAAAGCGGTCCTTGGCGTTGACGTCAACGCCGTTTGTGGAGAGAAGCAGCCGCATCATGGCGCCACTTCTATTCGTGATTGCAAGAAACAGCGGCGTCCGGCCGTATTGATCCTTGGTGTTAACATCAACTGAGTCTGTGGCAAGAAGCAGCTTGACAATATGTCGGCTCCCTCCCAAGGTTGCAAAATACAGCGCCGACCGACCGTAAATATCCTTCGCATTGACATTGACACCATCTTTCGCGAGAAGTAGCCGTGCTATTGCTTCATCCCCTTTATGAGCCGCGTATGAGAGCGGCGTATGACCTAAGTAGGTCTTGATATTGAAATCGATCCTGTCATCAGCGAGAAGCAGGTTGGTTATTGTCTTATTCCTATGGCCAACTGCAAGAAATAGCAGCGTCTGGCCATGGCAGTCCTTAGCATTGGTATTGACGCTGGCTTTAGCAAGTAGCACCTCAACCATCGCCTCGTCGTCATTCTCGACCGCCCACAGCAATGGTGTATGACCGTGCTTGTTCTTGGCGTTAACATCAATATTATCATGAGTAAGCAGCAGCTTAACCACCCGCCTGTCGCTGTTCAGGATTGCACACCACAGTGGCGTCTGATCATAGCGGTTCTTGATATTAACATCGACGCTATCTTTGCCAAGTAGCAGGTGGATCACTGCCCTATCGCTATTGCGGACTGCCTGGAATAGCGGCGTGTGGCCGACATTGTTCTTGGCGTTAGCATCGATGCCATCTTTACGCAGCAACAGCCGGACAATCTCCTCTTGGCTGTTCGCGGCTGCGAACCAGAGCGGCGTCTGACCGAACTTGTTTCTGACATTCGCATCGACGCTATCCTTACAGAGCAACAGCTGGGTAACCTCCTCGTGTCTGTTCGTGACTGCCCACCATAGCGGCGTTTGATCGTAGTGGTCCTTAGCATTGGTATCAACGCCGTCTATGGCGAGTAGTAGATCGACCACTGCCTTGTTCCCATTGCGGGCTGCCCACCATAGCGGCGTCTGACCAAACTTGTTCCTGAAGTTGGCATCGATGCCATCTTTGGCGAGCAGTAGCTTGGCCACTGCTTCGTTCCCCTTCTCAGTCGCCCACAAGAGCAGCGTCTGACCGTTGTCGTCCTTGCCATTGGCGTCAATGTTATCTGTGGCGAGTAGGAGCCTGACCACGGCCTCGTTCCCTGTCTCTGCTGCCCACCACAACAGCATCTGACCATTGATGTCCTTGGAATTGACGTCAATATTCTCGTTAGCTAACAATAGCTCCATCACCGCCATATTCCCATTCTTAGCTGCCCACCATAGCGGAGTCCGACCATAATAGTCCTTTGTATTGACGTCAACGCCGTCTGTAGCCAACAGCAGCTGGACCACCTCCTTGTACCCTCTTTTGGCTGCCCATAGTAGTGGAGTCTGGCTATGGTAGTCCTTTGCATTGATGTTGACGCCGTCTGTGGCTAGGAGCAGCTCGACCACCGCCTCGTACCCCTCCTTGACTGTTTTCAATGTCGGCGCTTGACTGCTTTTGTTGTCAGAATTGAAATGAATGCCGTTGGCTTGCAGTAGCTTGGGGATGGCCTCGTATCCGGACTCGTCCTCTGCATCGGTCAAAGAAACGTCCCCTTGATGATGACGTAAAGCCAACAACAGCGGCATCTGACCGTTCTTATCCGTCGCATTAACATCAACGCCTTTTCCACCAAGTAGCAGCTTGACTACCGCCTGGTATCCCTTCTTGGTCGCATATAACAGCGGTGTCTGGCCACTCTTGTCC